CATTGATCTTTTAGCTTGGATTGATCAATATAAGCTTTTAGCTTATATTGATCTTTTTAGCTTGGATTCTCTAGAAAACAGAGCCTGAGGCAAAACCACATGTGCAAGCATTATACTGGAGAGTGTAATATCTTTCCAGGAGTGAGGACAAAAGGGAGTGAGGCAGGGAAGGAAGCATTACTAAGCTGCCACCAACTTAGTCTCAAGATGACTGCGCAGTGCCCGAGATGTCTTCCAGAGGGTTCAGTGGAGCTGCTACACCTCAACACAGGCCATATGGGGGGAAAAGAAAGGCAACTTATCCAATGATTCCTTACCTTCCATTAGTTAAAGTCCACACCTATGGTGAATTAATTCCCTTGCATTTCCAAGTTACGAATGTGTCAGTGACCAAGCAAATCCATATTTCGTTCCTCAGAAGCAACAGGGAACCTGTTAAAGCTGAAGGGTGTTATTATAAACTGAAAGTTTCACACAAAAGTTATATGTGAAAGCCCCTACTCCCAATGTGACTGTATGTGAAGATAGGGCCTTTATCAAAGTAATTAGGGTCACATGAGGTCATGATAGTAGGGACCTCATGATGGGATTAGTGTCCTTATAAGAAGAGACACCAGAGAGCTTGCTGGTGCTTTCTCCCCACCACATGAGGACATAGTGAGAAGGTGACCATCTGCAAGCCAGGAAGAAAACCCTTGCTAGAACCCAATCATTCTGGCCAAATCACAGACTCAGACTTCCAGCCTCCAGAATTATGAAAAAACAAATTTCGACTGTTTAAGTCACAGAGTCTATGGTATTTTGTTAGAGCAGCCTGAGCTGACTAATACAGACATGCAATAATACCAGCAAAGGCATGAGGTACAGTGTATTCACCCATTCTCACAATACTATAAAGATACTACCAATGACTGGGTAATTCATAAAGGAGAGAGGTTTAATTGACTCGCAGTTCTGCATGGCTGGGGAGGCCTCAGGAAACTTATGGCAGAAGGCAAAGGGGAAGCAGACACCTTCACAAGTCAGCAGGAGAGAGAGAGAGCACGAGCACAGGAGGGAACTGCCAGACACTTTTAAAACCATTAGATCTCATGAGAACCCCCTCACTATCATGAGAAAAGCATGGTGAAAACTGCCCCTGTGATCCAATTACCTTCCAGCAGGTCCCTCTCTCAATATATGGGGGTTACAATTCAGGTTACAGTTCGAGATGAGATGTGGGTGGGGACACAGACAAACCATATCATACAGCAGTGTTAGGGTGTGTCAGGAACCATATGAGAGACTGGGAGCAGCCACTGCTACTGGCCTTGCAGTCTGGGGAAAATACAGAAGCAACGATGGGAGCAACTTGGCTCTGCAGTCTCAGCAGCAGCACAGCAACACCTAGCAGCCTCTGGCTGCCCAGGTAGCCATCAAGGCAAGTGTATGGATCCAAGTTAACAAAAACTGAGTTTGATGCCATGAGGAAACAGCTAAAGAGTTTGAGAATGAACAACAGTGAGATAACAAGGGAAAGCAAGAGCACAAAATCTTGGAGGGGTAGTGGTGGTGGGGGTGATCAATAGTGTCAAATGCTACAGTTACAGCAATGGATGGGGTACTGATGTGGTCTGACTCTGTGTCCCCATCCAAATCTCATCTTGAATTGTAATCTGAATTGTAATCTCCATGTGTTGGGGGACGGATTTTGTGGGAGGTGATTAAATCATGGGGGTGGTACCCCCATGCTGTTCTCAAGACAGTATGTTCTCATGAGATCTGCTGGTTTTATAAGGGGCTTTTTCCCCCTTCACTTGGCACTTTTCTCTCCTGCCATCATGTGAAGGACATGTTTGCTTCCCCTTCCACCATGATTGTAAGTTTCCTGAGGCCTCCCAAGCCATGTGGAAATGTGAGTCAATTAAACCTTCATAAATCACCCAGTCCCAGGTATTTCTTTATAGCAGCATGAGAAAAGACTAACACAGGTATTAACAAATGAAACTGGCAATGTATAGTTCATCAGAACATTGGAAAAAGCCATTTCAGTGGAGTTATGGGACCAAACACCTGATTGGTATGAACACAAGAGATGATCAAGGAAAGTATCGGTGTACAGAAAATTATTTCTTTCCAAGTTGTGAGTAAAATTCTTTTGAGCTTTGTTGTAGGTGAATTAAATAGCATGAATAAGACCTATTTGATAGCACAACAGGGTGACTACAGTCAATAATAACTGTACATTTTAAAATAACTAAAAGTGTAACTGGATTGTTTGCAACCCAATGCATAAATGCCTGAGGGGATGGATACCCCATTCTTCATGATGCGCTTATTTCACATTGCATACCTGTATCAAAACATTTTATTTCTCATAAATAATAAACACCTATATACCCACAAAAATAAATTTAAAATTTTGACTGAGTTCTGTCCTATCTCCCTCAAAAGTGTTTTTTATACTGGCCCATGGTAGGAGGTAGAAGGACTTCAGAAGAACTTTTCTCATAAGAGCATTTTTTCTTATAATTCTTCTAATCCACAAAGCATCCCAATATAAATAATTGTGCATTCCTCATAACTTTGCATCACTCTGAATTGACAGCAATTGTACATTGAATCAGTCACTGTAGGCTTTCCTTTTTTTTCTCTCTATAGGGGGCAAAATACCTCTTCGTTTTACAGAGGACTATTAGGAAATCATTTTCCCTATGGGAAAATGGCCAATCCATGAAAGATATAAACCAGTCTCAGGAAGACTTGGCTTTGAAGAACTTGGGACGTGTATCCTGATTTTCATAAGCTTTCTCCTCTTCCTCCCCTTGTCTAGGACTATCCCCTCCTCCAATCCATTGATTACTAGTGGCCAGGCCTAGCATAAGTGCATGAAAAAATTTTTTCCTTGATCTAAAAATATACAAGGTGAGTCAGTCACTCATTCACAGTCCCCAAGGACCCCACTCAGTTCTAGAGTGTCACAGACTCACAGTATACTGTCCAGTTAACCCAGGACAAGCCTTAGTAGCTGGGATTATATACATGGAACTTTTGAGCCCAGATTCGCATCTCCCCTTTGGAACCTAAAGTCCTTGAGCAGTTCAGTTATGAATTAAGAAACCCAGGGCTTCTATACAGCAGTGTAACCATGTACAAAATGTTTGCATTTGCAACTAACCAACCAACCAATTGGCTTTTTCCTCCCAAAATCAAAAAGTTACCTTATATAAATTATATAATTAGATGTCACAATTACATTAACAAGTGCTCTCATCTGTTGAGCTCAATAAAAATTATACAATTGCATTGACCATTTGTGAGGAATTCCGTCTTTATTCATTCATTTAACACAAATTGCTTACCATTCTCAGGGCCATATTAAGCACTAGAGCTAGACAACTCAGGAAAAACAAACACCATGATGCTTGCAGTGAATAGGGAAGATGGGCACTAATCAAATAACCACACAAACACACATAAAATGGGTTATCTGCTAGATTTAGTGCTTTATATACATTTGTATTTAAATCCTCACAACCTCTCTATGAGGTAAGTATCCCCATTTCATAATGATGAGAAAACAGATTCAGAGAGAGAAAGTGACTAACTTAAGATCACACAGCTGGTATGGGCCAGAGCTGAGATTTTTCAACTCAGGTTTTCTGCATTGGTGGGTGGCAGTCTGATTCATGTAAGAATTAAAAGCAGGAGCTTTAGATTTCTATACACTGACTTTTTTAAAAAAATTGATGCCAAAATCTAAACTCCACTGCATATCACACCCTAATAATCTCTTAACTGGTAAACTAGTAGCAAAGCTTTTTAGAGACCATCTCAGGACTCCCTTGTGTCAGTCTCAGATACTACAGTACTGTAGCAATTTGGCCTGTGAAGCAAAAGAAGGCATTATGAAGCATGCCGAGAAGCCTGCACACTGAAGGTAAAGTTGTGTAGGCATAGATCCCCATATCCCTTCCAGCTCTTGAGGTCACTGCAGTCATGAAATAGCAAGAAAAATGGTGATAGAGATTAAGGGTGGGGGGAGCAGTCTCCAAGCTCAGAACTACTCTGGATAAAAGACAAATATGACAAAGCCCAAGATCCCTACAATCCTAGATCAGATGTCTGATATCCAAGTTTTATTCTGGTAACCCTCTGAATGGGAATTTTCCAGCCTCAGGGCTCTGTATACAATGTGTTTTCTTTTGTTTTAACTGCGAAAAATGTCTATGGTCCTGAATAGCATCATGTCAGTGTAAGGTTTCTGATAGAGGTTGGAGGGAACCTCAGTTGGATGGATATGCTGGCTCCCTGATCAGAACCCTCTTGTTACTGGGGTTATAAGTGAAGCAGACAGAAGGGCCTGAATAACACTCTTTCCTATTCAGCCTGTGATATATGGCCCTGATAAGGAAATTTGCTGTGTATATGTACAAGCTATCTTTTCAAATGACCTCCCTTTCTAAAGTGGCTGGTCAAACTGGATTTACTGAAACTTCCGGTTGGCTACTACTAGACATAATGACAACTTTGCTATCCTTACTTCTTGAGCTCTATGAGCAGGATCTGTGACTTCAGATATATCTATCTGCATTGGCAGTGGCCTCCTAGTTACTGATAGGCACAGGACCCTGAGTTCCTTGGAAGCCATACTATGATGGCCAATGTAAATATAATCTAGCAGGAGAAACAATCCAACTAGAACTGCCTGTACAGAATTCACAGCTCCCACACTGCCTTCTTGCTTCCAAATTCCTCATTCTGTCTTGTTTCAATTAATGAAAATGACACACAAAAATGACCACAGTCATTAAATTGCCATTTGTCTGGATGGCCATAGAAATAGACAATGTATCTTCTAACAGCTCTATCACTACTGTTTCTTTTAAATTTGAGTGGTTTCCTACTAGGAATATCCCTATTTCAATTCTTCAAGAAACGTACAAATATTTTAGAACTGAGCAGGCCAAGGGCCATGATAGTGCTGAAACATCCTTCAGTTTCTGGGTAAACTTCCTTCTAGAAGTTTGAAAGCAGCTTTGGAAAAAGCACCACAATAAACTTAGCTCCTCTCTGAGCTGCATCCTTAGAGACAGTCTTCTGACCATGTATTATAGAGAATTACACCTTGTCCCCAGTGCTTCTGACATTATCTTTATCTCATTACACTTCAGTTTATCAACTGCTTGTTACCCCACAGAGCTCAGACATTCAGATGGCTCAGTCCCCTCCCTTCCTGAGGATCCATTGTCAAGAAATTTTTGCTCCTGCCTCTACCCTACCCGTTTATTCAACGATATGTATTAAGCACTTACTATATGATAGACATTGTTCTTGGAGCTGGGAATACATCAGTGAACAAAATAACCCTGAATCCCTGACCTTGTGGAGCTGACATTTTAGCAGATCAACAGCTGTGAAAGTGGATGACTATTCCACCCTTACCATTGGTTACCTGAGAAACCAGCACTATCCAGAAGTTATAGTGAGCAACTTCCCTAGACTTGGCAATGCCAAACTGTCTCTATTGCGCAATCAGAAATAGAGAACCAAGAGGAAACTACCACTCCCTAAGCTGCAAATAACTGCAAATAAATTTGGTATGTATACTGTTGTCACATGTGTTTCCCTACCACCCACCTCCCTTTTCAGATTCTTGTTAGATGAGCCGGTTAATATTAAATTTGAGAAAAGAGGGCTGGTATTAAGGCAAATATAGTTTACTGCAGCTCATCCACAGGCTTATAAGTCAAACAAGAAAGAAAAATTCAGGGGAGGGGAGAGGTACCTGTACACATAGATGCACACATTCTGTTTAGTTAAGCCCTCTGGATAAGGAGATATCATAGCATATATGAGTTTGAGATAACTCATTTCTAATCAGAGCAATGAGATTATCAAGGTGATACTTTAATAAGCTTTACGACACTTTTAGTCTCCAAAAACTGCAACAGGGCTGAATCACCCAAAAACCTCAAAAATCAACTCTCTAGAGCAAGTCCTCCTCCACCCCCAAGTCCCAGGGTCATGTGTCAGGATCCTTCTGCTGTTCTAGAAAGCATCAATCCTCTTCTGCTGGAGGTGCTTTAGGAGGCTATGACGGATCTGCCTAGACTTGATGGAATACACAATGGGGTTCATGAAGGGTGGGACCAAGAAGTGTAGGTTGGCCATGAGCACTGCCAGAGAAGTGTAGCTGTGTTTCTCTACTCGGTGCAACACAGAAAGCCCCAGTTTGGGCAAATAAAAGATGAGAACAATGCAGAGGTGTGACATACATGTGTTGAGTGCCTTGAGCTGTTCCCCAGGTGATGCAATGCCCAGCACTGTTCGTAGGATCAGGGCATATGAGAGCATGATGATGGAGGAGTCAAGGCACAGTGAGAAGAGGATGGAAACCAGGCCAACCAGGCTGTTGATTTGGGTATCTGAGCAGGCAAGGTCTGTGACAAGGTCACAGTGCAGGCAGTAACAGTGAGAAAGCACACCGATCTGGGGAAAGAGCAGGTGCTGCAGGAGGATAGGTCCTGGGAGGTTGAGTAGAACAGCCCTTACCAGAATGGCAGTTCCCACTTTGGCCGTGGCTGAGCGGGTAAGGATTGTGGCATAATGCAGAGGGTCCCGGATGGCAATAAAGCGATCAATGGCCATGGCCAGCAGTACCACGGATTCCACATAGGTGAAGACATGGATGAAGAACATCTGTGCTGCACAGAGATCAAAGGGCAGCTCACGAGCTCCCAGCCAGAAGAGACGCACCATGGTGGGGAAGGTGGAGGCACAGAGGCCCAGATCAGAGGCTGCCAGCATGGACAGGAAGATGTACATGGGTTCCTGTAAAGCTATGTCTGTGCAGATCAGGAAGAGGATGATACTGTTACCCAGGATGGAAACCACACAGATGAGGTTGATGGGGATGGAAACCCAGCGATGAGAGGCTTCCAGGCCTGGAAAACCAGTGAGGAGGAAGGTAGACTGGCCAGAAGTGCTGGTGTTGCAGGAGAACATGGTGATTCCAGGTGACAGTTGTCCACACTAGGAGTAAGAAGCATTGTTCATTTGATCATTACTTATAAAGTCCCTAATAAGTGTGGGCTGAGAAAGAAGAGCTGCCCCATAATCCTTTCTTGGGCTATGAAAGAAACTCCATTCGTTTTAGAAGCTCTATTTCTTTCCATTTCCTGATCTTTTTGGCTTGGAGAAAATGATGTAGCACTTTATTCTCTCTTTATTCAAAAAAAGAAAGTTTCTGAGTTGATCTCTGCTTACTGCTTATGGTTATTTCATTAGCCACTGTTTTCCCTTTGGCCTAAACAGCCTCTTTTTTTCACTTGTTAAACCTAAAAGTCTCCCTCTCCAGAGTGTCTTCTCAGACTAAAAACTGAAGGAGAATAATTTTATGTAGAAATTTAAATTTGTATTAGAAACAAGTTTCAATTCCATTTCTATTTGTTTTCAGAGGTGAAGTCTCCCCCTCCGGGGTGTCTTCTCAGACTAAAAACTGGAGAAATAATTTAAGTAGAAACTAGATACACATATTCTGTCAGGTAGAAACTTAAAATTATATTAGAAACAAGTTTAAATTCCATTTCTAATTATTTTTAAAGGTAGATTTTCCAGCCTGACAGATCTGTTAACAAACCATAAAGGACACACTCAAACAAATGAGATATTTCAAAACCATTCCCTAAGGAGGCTGGTTGCATATTCCTCTGGTGCTATCATGGAACTAACATAGAAATATAGACTAACATTGTCTATCATAACGTTGTTAATGCTGAAAATATCCATCCCTAAGCAAGATGAAATAGGAAGATGTATTTACAAGATCTCCTCTTATACCACCCCTGCCACCTCCCTGACCGCTTATATGCATCTGTTCTTGAGATGAAATAGTATGATGTATTCCTGGGCAAGAAAGCTGAATAGAAACAGCTCCAGTCTGCAGCTCCCAGCAATACTAACACAGAGGCAGGTGATTTTTGCATTTTCAACTGAGATACCTGGTTCATCTCATTGGGACAGGTTAGACAGTGGATGCAGCCCACAGAGGGTGAGCAGCAGCAGTGTGGGATGTCGCCTCACCCAGGAAATGCAAGGGGTCAAGGAACACACTCCCTAGCCAAGAGACATCATGAGGGACCCTGCCATGACAGACTGTGCTATCCAGCCCAGATACTACGCTTTTCCCACAATCTTCGCAACCCACAGACCAGGAGATACCCTCAGGTGCCTATACAAGATCCCTGGGTTTCAAGCACAAAACTGGGCAGCCGTTTGGGCAGACACTGAGCTAGCTGCAAGAGTTTTTGTTTGCTTGTTTGTTTGTTTGTTTTTTCATATCCCAGTGGCATATCTGACAAAAATAAGCAATAGGGAAAGGATTCCCTATTTAATAAATGGTGCTGAAAAAACTGAAACTGGATCCGCTTCCTTACATCTTACACAAAAATTAACTCAAGATGGATTAAAGATTTAAACCTAAGACCTAAAACCATAAAAACCCTAGAAGAAAACCTAGGCAATACCATTTAGGACATAGGCATGGGCAAAGACTTCATGACTAAAACACCAAAACAGCAACAAAAGTCAAAATTGACAAATGGGATCTAATTAAACTAAACAGCTTCTGCACAGCAAAAGAAACTATCATAGAGTGAACAGGCAACCTACAGAATGGGAGAAAATTTTTCCAATCTATCCATCTGACAAAGGGCTAACATCCAGAATCTACAAGGAACTTAACCAAATTTACAAGGAATAACCCTGTCAAAAAGTGGGCTAAGGATATGAACAGACACTTCTCAAAAAAA